CAAGTGATCGATGGTTTTTTTCCCTCTCCTTCTCTATCTCTCTAAAATCAATAAATATATCTGTGGGTGAAGATTTAAAAAATTGTGTCCTACTTTTCCCTCCATAACCACTTTTGAGTGGCTGAGAGATTTCCTTCCTATGCGTACCTGCTTTCCCAACCACAGCATCAGCATTTTAGAGACAGAATTCCAGGAGTGAGCAGGGCCATAGCTACTGAGAGGAATGTGGTCGTCTGGGAATGGCAGAGACTTTATTCCAGGCCCTAGAGGAGTTGTTGACAAGAGCCTTAGGTGGGGGCCCTGGACAGAAGCCTAGATCAGCATGTCCACCCATCCGATTGCCTGTCTATCTGAAGAGTGGGACTTAGAGATTATCCAGGTAAACAGAACCTGAAGGACCTCAGTGGCCAAGCATTTCAAGGTTCTTCAGAGGCCCTTTGATACTCGGGGTCATTGTTTGATTTGTGACTTCTGCTCTATCAGCAGAGAGGTTACTTCTGTGAGAAATGTCTGTTATTTTTGTTAAAATTCAGGACAGAATGGTAGGGTTCTGGTTTGTACGCATAGTCTAGGGTTCTAGGAAACACAAAACTAACCCCTGAGAATTCCAAAAACGGTGGATAGAGAGAGGAGACCCCACTGCACGTGTGGCGTGTGCGCCCTCTTCTCAAAGACAGTCATGACTCCCTTCCATGTGAAAATCCAGATGCTCGCCCCCCTGGCTCACCTGGCAGCCAGGTGTCTGAGCTCACACAGTGCTTGTTGGGCAAAGCTCAGCTGAGTCAGCTACAACAGGTCCCATTCCAGACAGACAGTGATTTGAAAGTCCATGGATCCTTATGCATTCTTTCTCATCTGCGAGCAAGAAGACCCATCTGACAGCACAACCACTGATTCAGCCAGCCAGGACGACTAGTGTGCTTCTTAGGACATTCTTGTACAAGTCAAAGCCAAGAAAGTGCCATGAGACCATGTTTAAATTTTAAATTCTGCCGGGAGAACTGGTGAGAAATAAGACTTCTCCTACAGATATGTTCCCTGTCCCTAGAAGTGCTCAAGAAGTGACAGACTTCACAGTGAACAGGAGCTAGGAAGGGCTATGCAACAGTGAGCACAAGTTTTGTAGTTACTCAGCAGGCGCACTAGCTGTCCTTCCGAAAACTCTCCGTCCGTTACAGTGGAAAGTGGATTCTTCCATACGCTGAGAGGCTGGCATTTGACAACCTCTCCTGCCTCTTCCAGGCAGAATTCCATCAACAGACACCACCTTTGCTCCCTTTACAGTTTGTGATGAGGGTTTACTCTTATTGAGAGTTTTATTTTATTTTAATCAACCCAAGAGATCCAATGTTAATAAATTAGTTTTGCGAATGACTCTGAGGTTAAGTTCACTGCCATGTAATAACTCAGGTACAATGTCAAAAACTGCAAAATAATAGCCAATATTTAATCAGGATTTATTATGCACAAAACTCTTAAGCTGAGTGTTTTACATTATTTAATGCTCTCAGAAACCGTTAAGTAGATATTATTTTTTCAGCACCATTGCAGAGGAGGAGACTGAGGACTATTGGGTGTCTGAGGTCTTGTAGAGGTAGACACACTAACTGCATCGCTGCCATCTCTTCCTGCAAATCAATACTTTTAGCTCTGAAGTCCAGTGTGGCCTTTCCTTTATATATGTATACATATATCTATGTATAAACTTACACCTTATGTGAAAACATATATTTAATATAAATTTGTGTGTATATCAATATGTTTCTATTTATATAAATATAATTTTATGTAGTATATATAAGAGTTATAATATGCAGTATATACATATTATATAAATAACTTTATATAGTATATAGTTTATTTTATGCATATACAATTATTATCATATTATCATATAATATCATATACAAATATTATCATATTTCTTATACAAATAAGAAAATCTATAAATTTAAGATATCAGATCTATTTTCCCCAAATAGTTTAGAGTATGTTTTCTCAATCCCTACCTTATTGATATATCAGCCCAGAAAACTCTGGGCAGCTACTTCCCTGAACCCCACTCACTAGATGCCATTAACAACCCCCACGTCTCCAAGACATCCCCATACATTCTGGCAAGAGGAAGGGCCAAAATCACTTTAGTTAGAACCACTGGCTTGGATGTTTTAGGATAATCTTATTTTTGAGGTCCCATTTCTTAGTCTGAAATAAGAAGTGTGTTGATACAAAAATATTCCAACAGTGCTGTCTGGTCAGGAGAAAATCAGATTGTCTTCCATGTTTATTCTCCACCACCATTTGGCCTGAACAGCCTTCTCTGGTCTCAGCAAGTTTTCTTTCCTTTTTCCCGAGACTGGGCAAGAGATTCCTCCAACTCCCCCTCAGGCTCCAGCTCTGACACCTGTTCAATATTTCTCAGGACTCTGCTCAGCAAAGGTCAGGTCTTGCACAGGAGCTGATAATACTGCACGACCTTTTGTTCTAGGTCTACCGAATTCTTTCTGATTAGATTTGTCTTTTTCTCTTTGGGAAAAAAAAAATCAGAGCATTATTGTTGACTTGCCAGTCATCCCTGGAATGTATCAGCAGCCTTCTTCCTTTGAAATGGCTGGAAGAAAATCCCCTCAAGAGATTGCCTTTAAAATAGCACGGTTTTCTTGAGTTTTCAAAATGGTTTTTATTATACAGACCACCTGATGATGAGACCTACTGAAGAAAAGACATAAGTATAGAGTAAAAGTTCACTATGGCCCATCTAATCATGGCATTTGTCATTGTGTCTGGTGGAGGAGGTTCCTGTTCAGACCACTGGACAGCAGGCGGTCACCCAGAATAGGTACTGGCCTGGCAACACAGGAGCCTTCAGGAAACAGCTCCTCCCGTCCTTTCTAAGGCCCTGGTGGTTGACAGGCACTTCTCCAGGTCCCCAAGCACCTGTTCCCCCTTCGCTACAATTTTTCTTTTGCCTCTAGCCATGTTCTGATATATGTTGTCCTGATACAACATAAATACACAGTACAGAGATTTCTCTCTCACATCCTGCCTTACAGTATACAGTTTTCTGGGCCAGTTTCTGACTCCTTCTAATTGAAAGTATGTCTGAGACTACATCGATATTGTCTTGAGAAAACCAGGAGACTCAGATGTCTGGCATCTAAACGCAGCCTAAAGTGCCCTGTATTTTTGTCGTTGCTGTTTTTGTTTGTTAGAATGGGGCTTTATTCATGTCAGGGGGGTAAACAGAGGAGATTGCATTAAAGAGGATATGTTTAGAAATATGTTTATATTTCTAAAAGGTTAACATATTTCTAAGATTTCTAAATTTTTTTAAAGTGGAGACTAATCTGAAGTAAGATACACTGTGTGGTTTTTAAGTGAAGTGAAGAAGAAGTCTTACTGTCAGGTACATGGTTTCTTACAATGGAAAATATTTCTTTCTATGGAAAAGACTGAGTAAATTTAATGGTAAAATATACTGCAAAGAAACTCCTAAAATTCTCTTAACATTGTGCACCAAATTTATTACCGACTAGTAAAAATCAAGGAATAATGCCACAGAAATATACTACAATGAAAAAAGTTGTACAAGGGATGAAAACCATGAGATGTCTTCCTCTACAGTGATAACTGATGACTGTGAGACCTTTTCAAGCTACACCACTCGAAACTACTTTAAACATTATACAACTCACAGTCCATGTTTTCCTTAGTCAGTCACATGATGTTTGCACAGTACAATATGATATTTGTAGCCATATGACCGACCTAATAAAGTGCTTGGAACCTAGCTTAGATTCAATGTTTGACTCCTTCAGGGTTTTCTTTCAAAAGTAAACAATATAGCATCATATTCCTTGCTCCATTAAAATTTGACAGTACAAGTCTAATTTGTTTCCCCATTTTTCTCCGTTTGAATGAAAAGAAACTGAAATATTTGGAACAACATTGGAATCCATTCATTTCTCCTCCATAGCCTGGCTATTGTGACTGATTTAAGATTTTGAAAGAATCCAACTCCATGAATTAGATTTCAAAACACGCCCTGACAGTGTGCCCCCCACCCTTGAGAGCAGCCCCTCCCCTGTCAGGGCACCAGTTCCTCCTGCACCAGGTTCCCGCAGAGCCTCTGACTCACTTCTGAGCTGTGGGTAGAAGGTCTGTGTGTGTGTGTGTGTGTGTGTGTGTGTGTGTGTGAGAGAGAGAGAGAGAGAGAGAAGAATGTGTTTTCTTTATCAGAAAGCATTTCCTATGTTCAAACGTGATTTCTATTTTTATCTACAGTCCCAACTAAGTTTGAAGCAGGAAAATAATAGATGCATAGAAAGCATTTTCTCTCGTTTGGGAACAGAGACAGTCTCGCTGTGTCAATTCACCCCTCTGCGTCCCCCTCCTCTTTTCCCCACCCCCAAGTCCAATTCAGTATGTCACCAAAAGCATTAGCTATTGATTGTATGTTTAGCTAAATACTCCACTCCATTTAGCTGAAAACTTTAAATATATTAGTAGCAATATGAGTGGAGTAATTCACTAGAAAACTCCTCATTTAATTCCTACATCCAAGACAGATAAATGATAGATACTTGTACATGGTGGAAAGAGACACAGATGGATAGATAGATAAATCAATAATGGATAGATAGATGGATACAGACACAATAATGTAAGTAGCACGTGGCCAGAAGGAAGCCAAAGAATAGCAAAAGTTGTAAAAAATGGCTTGAATTCCCCTATTTAAGCTGCCTTTCCCAGTATTTGAATAATCATAGGAAGTTCTCTAATCAAATTTTCCTTAAACATTCAATTCCAAATACACGAAGAAGTTTCAGTTCCTTTGTTACATAAATACCGACTATCAGAAAAAGCACTTGGACAGTTATTTTCAGTCCTTGGACAAGGGCCACGGACGCTACGATCTGCGTCGGGGAGAAACAACTGGCAGCCTTCCTGTACCCTCCAGGGTTAATTCCATCCGTGTGACGTGCCCAGCGCTCAGAGAAGCCAGAATTGGAAGAACTGCCTGGGGCTGAATGGGTCCCCCTTCCCTGCCGGGCCCTGACCCTTCCTAAGTGCTGCAAGCTGGATGGAGGGTCAGCTGTCAGCCGTAAGTGGGCCATTTGCTTTAATTGTTCCTCTGATGTTGCTAACTAGCCACTAAAGAGATGATGTAATAAGATTTCAGACTCAGTCTTAAGCTCAAAGGATGTGTCCAGTTGGCTCTCATTTTATTTATATCCTGGAAATATCTTTACAAATTTAATGAATGAGAAATCAATAGTCACGTCCATCTTTTAAAGATCAGATCTTGGGTGACAGGATTTGATTTGGTTGTGTATTTCCTGATGGTCCCAATTTTACTCAATGCCACTCCCCTGATGCCACATCAAGTGCTCCCCCGATGGGGTCTGAAAGCTTAGGAACAACTATTTTTAGACCCCAGCAAGCCCCAGGGCATCAAAAGGTAAATTATTAGCTGTGGTGTAAAAATAGCCATCTGGCCACTTTGGAAATGTATTTCTCCATAGCATGTGGACTTGAATTTATGTCCCACCTTTACAATCCAATCCCCATAAATAGAATGAAACTAGCCACAAGTGATCCCCACAGCTGATATCTCTGGGCTCAGTCGAAGCTATAAAATCCTCCCTGGGTCACGTTGGTGCCTCACTGTGTTTAGTAAACAGATGTTCTGGCTTAGGGAGAGCCACAGGCCTCTCACTGTGTCTATTCAGCAGTGAATGCACCACGGAGGGCAGCCAGCCCCACCAGAAAGTACCTGATCTACTTTACATCCCATGTTGTCCTTTTTGCTTTATTTTTTTCCCCATAAGGTCAATGTCAGATGAGGAACAAGTCTGCAGGTTCTCAACGTACAGAAGCCAGGTCTGTTGTCAAACATCTGCCGGCAATTGTTGCCTGCTATGTTTCATAAAATTGGTGAATGTCAAAGTAGTGTCATTGTGGTCTCCTCGTTTTCCAGAAAGGAAACTGAGGCCTGGAGAAAGGAAGTGACTTTTAGCCAAGTTGTGGCCAAATCATGATGACGTCTGAGGTGTCCTGACTCCCAGGTGAACACTGTTTTGACTGGATAATTCTGCCCGAGTATGGCAGGGGCTGTTTTCCGTGCGGTTCAGCACAATACAGAAATGTTCATACATCATAGCATCACTTCCATAGACGTTTCTGGGGAAGGAAAAGACATGAGGTAGGAAAGACGAGTCTGAAAATTCAATTTTTCTCCGATGGCATATTTGTACATGGTCATGAATCTCATCTTTGGTTGTGCAGGTGGGAGAGGAGTTACTCTGAACGGCATTTTATTCATCAGTGCCAGCTACTGTGCTTTGCAGAAAATGCTCGGCTTTCTTCTGGAGACTTTCAAAAAAAGAAGGAGAAAAAAGGGGAAGGAAAAGCATAATAATAATAAATTTTCATTAGTTTTCATTTTGGTACATTTTTTTCAGGGTGGGGGTGGTAAGGAAACTCTCTTTCATTCCAGATTTAAAAAGGAAGGCGTTTTTGAAGGGACAGATGCAAACACCCACCACCACTGTTTGTTCAGCTTTGGGAAAGTTAGAGGTCAACTTCCAGTTGTTTACAGGGAAAAGGCTAGTGAGCAAAATACCTTTATCATTAAACATTATCTTGCAAAAATATTTACTAGGGTGTAAGGGTAGAACATTGTGCTAATAACGAGGCACACAAATTTTGAAACTGTAACCGATTTTGAAACAATACCCAGGAAAAGGCCCTGTTCTCATCACTCCCTGGTGTGCTCGGTGCTTATGTTTCAGGAATATCCCATTGGCTCTGCTCTTGCTGAGAACTCTTGTTCTCGTGGATTACCGGGGTTCTTGGTCAGAGAGAGTACTTTTTATTACTTCCTCAGATTAAATGTAAAACAGCCCTGAGTTTATATAGTAAAGTATGTATAGCCCCTGAAAATCAAACTGGATTAAAATTACATATTGTATTTTGCCATGTATAACACATACCCACCATGTTTTTGGCCTAAACTTTTAGGGAAAAAAATCTTTCATTTTAATTTTTTAATTCATATTTAGAAACAAAACCGATAATCATATTCCATGGTATTATTTTGTGTATGGATATCACTATTGATATCCATCAATAATGTTACATTTTTAATACATAAGCATAAATACAAATATTAAAAACAGAGCGGACAGTGGGGAGAAGGGTTTTCAGGAACTATTATAAAAGCCACATGGACAAAACCAAGGGGGAGGGTGAAAGCAAGGGAGGGAGGTGGGTTTGGAGGGGTTGGGGGGATGGGTGGGGAAAAGTGAAAAAGGAAAAAATTTTAATTAATTAAAAAAATTTATATAGATATGGAATTAGTACTACCCATGTATATGTGTATCCTTATTTTTCCCTCAAAAATCTGGGCAAAAATGTGCTCATTATACACAGCAAAATATGGTATATTCTTATTTGGTGAACGTTCTTACTTTCCTCCCCTCTTTGCTTGGTTGTACTTCCTCGGTAGGTTTCCATAGTGGAGCAGCAGTGCCAGCCATTGAAACTGCCATGTTGGGTACTATTACCGAACAACAAGAGGTCCGAGGGAGGGGCAATACAATATTTGGCCCACCTAGGGATGCCAAAAACTGCTATACAACAGGGGCCCCTCCCAAAAACAGAATACTAAAATCTACTGGGCCCTTCTGTCCGCCGCCAATTGGAAAGACATCTCTTAATGCCAGAGATTTGTGAAAAGGAAACAAAATGTTTATTTAATGCTATTCAGGCCTAATGCCACCACTAAAATATCAAAGTCCTTTAGGTTGTACACCTACACCCACACAGCGCTCCCTTCTCCCACTGTCCCAACTCCGGGTACCGTAAATCAGGAAAAGAGCACACGTCTGTATTGCAGGCCGCTGGTGCCATCAGCTGTGTCACTGTGCAGGATCTCGAGTTAATCCAAAGTACTGTGGTACCCTCTCATGGTCCACTGGCAAGAGTTCTTTGTACCCAGATCCAGTCAAAGTCTCTCTTGCTTTTCAGGCCCCACGGCCAAAGGGGCACCCCAAAGCCGCGTGGGCCTCTTCTACCAAAGCTGCAGGAGTCCGCACTCCACCAAAAGCATGTGGCTTTCTTCTTCACCTGGCTGCAGGGATCTCCATTCTGGCAAAGCTGCATGGTTTTTCCCTTTCACCTGGGAAAGAGGGGGTCCGCACCCTGCCAAAACCACGTGGCTCCCTCTTTCACCTCACCAAGAGGGGGTCCTCACTCTGCTGAAACAGCGTGGCTCTCTCTCCATCTGGCCAAGTGGGGACCCTTCGTGTCCTGGAGCCAGTCTTTTCCAAGCTCCCACACAGCGGCACCCTCCCTCAGGGGCGCAGCCCCTCATTACCTCCTCAGTCCAAGCCCTTCTCACTCAGGAGTCCAGACCTTAGTTCCCATCCTGAGTCCCCCAAGTTCCATCCTCCGACCCTGCTACTCCCTTCTTCCTCAGGAGTGTAGCTCCTAGTTTTTCTTCTCATGAGACCCAGTCTTTCTCCCTGGCTCCAAACTTGGCCACTCCTATTTAACATATCTATGAAACCAGTTAAAGGTTATAGATATGTTAAATAACCATTCCTCCAGAGGTTAGCTCCAAAACTGTTGCTATGCAAAATAGCTCTCAATGGCCTGGCTCCATTCATCCCTTCCCCCCGGGGGGGGGGGGGGCAGTGAGGACATCTTATATGTCTCTCCAACATTTCTATATACTTTGAATTCTGGACACCCTTCCAAATCTTTTTTTTGGGGGCCCCCCCTGGCTGCACCCTGTATCAGTACCACTGTCTCGTTCCATTCCCTGAGAGTCTGGGTGTTGCCCGAGACCTTGCCCAGCGGGGATATTATTTGAAAAGGTTCAGAACAGGCTCCCCCGTCATGAGTTCCTTCCAGATTCTCCACTTCGGTGTGGGGATTATTTTGAGCTGCAGACCATAAAGACCCTGTGGGCTCACAGGAAACTTTTATCTCTTCCTTAAAGAATTTAAATTAGGGGCCTTGCCAGATAACAACAGTTATCACCAAAAATAAAGTTTTATGACCTATCTGTAGGACAGGGGAAACTCCTAATTATTGAACATCTGCTTTTCTTATTACCCTGCAGTGAGTGACCTGCCTCCCTTCTGAAGTGCTAGGCTCCTTCCTTCATCCTGAGCTCGGAATGTGGCACATGCCTGATCTCCCCTTTCGGTCTCGGACCCTCTCGTCTAAGTGGAGTCCCTGACTTTAGTGTTAGTGTATGTGCAGTTCCCATTTGTACATATGTAATTAAATCTGGTCATTTTTCTCTTTGTAATCTGTTTCTCTTGTTAATCACATACTCCAATTATTAGATCAGCTAAGGAACCATGAAAGGTAGAAGAAAATTTCTCCCTTCACAACACAGTGAAAGAAAATGTGAGCAGCAAAAATAAGGGGAATTTGGGGAAACATATAGTGACCCTATTGTCCTCTGCAAATTCTGGAACCTGCTTTTGGACTTCTCTCAGGCACACGACCCAAGCACCGCACACAGGGGTGAGGGTGAGTCGTCCTGCCTGGCATTGCAGCCTTACCCTGTTTTCAGGTCTTCACGCCCAGATTACTGCCCCTTCATGCTCCCTGGCTGAGACCTGACCAACAGGGTCCAAATCCATTCTTCTTGCCCTCCCAAGCCAAGTAGACTTCTTGGGGGGTCCCATTCCCCCTGCCATCCCCCTGCTTGAAAAACTGTTCTCTCTGTCTGCCTCTTCTTATTGTCAGGCACTACTGTCTCCTGCTCTGAAGGCTTCCATGGGTCTGACTACTGTTCTCAGGGCATGCTCCCTCCTTCATCAGGGAAGCTGGGCTCCAGGCCCCCCAACCCCGGCCTCTGGATTTGGCATCTATGTCTTTGCCTCAGAAAGAAAGGGTTCCATCTAAACCACACAGGTGATGCACTTCTAAGCCCATGACACATGTGCTATATTCACCACAGTGGTTCACATTAGGCTTTTCAGACCAGCAGTGAGCGAGTCAGCTGTGCCTGTTTACTGCACATATTGCCAGCAAGTTGCAGAGTCCTCAGAAGTCTCTTTCCAATGAAAAATGTCTCCTTTTATTTTAAGTAGAGTTCAGTGAAGACTGAGAGACTGCAAAGGAACAGCATCATATTACTGGTAATTCTGTGTCCTGGACTGACAAGGGTGGCCTTGTGTGGCCTCTGTACATGGAGGGCACAGGAGGGACTCGGGGCAGCCAGAAGCCACCAACAGTGCTATGGCCTCACATAAACATGGGTCGCCTTGGCCTTAAACCTTAAGGTGCACTTGAGTATTTGTCAACCTGTTCAGATAGTGTGTGTCGTGTAGATAGACAATATCAACCTGTTCAGATAGTGTGTGTCGTGTAGATAGACAATATAGTGAGATGCAGAGGTTTAGGGAAGCTACGGATTCAAATTTTACAGCCGTTAGTGAAATTAAAGACGTCTTCATTTTCAAGGTGGGAGGCTCAGGCTCAGGTAGCTCAATGGCCTTCCCAAACGTCCTGGCAGCAGAACCAGAACTGGCCCTGGCTGGACATGCAGGCCGCTGCCCAGAGCTGTCCCAACCCCTGCCCCACCCTGTGCCTCCGCATTTCATTGTGTAAATCATAAATGCTCAAATAATATTTTTGACTAATTGTACAGTATACGTTCACTCTAAATATTAAATACGATAAAGTAAAAGGGAAAACCGAAAAAAAACTTGCCATCCAACATTAACCAAATTTACAGATTCTGTTGAAGGCTCACTCCCCATTCTCTCTCCTTTTCCTCATGGTTTTACAACAGAGTCTCGTTTTACTTAACAAAATAAGTGTGCATGAAACCTCCTTCTTGTAAAAGTCCTAAATATTTTTAAGTCAATGGATATGATTCTACATGATCATTTTTAGGACTGACCTGTGATACTGTGATTTATATTTGGTCTTTGTCCCCTTTTCTGGCACAGAACTCCTGAAACCCTTGGAAATTCCTAAGTGATGAGAGCCATAAAGGTGTCTTTTGTTATGCGAGTGAGGTGACTTTTGGAAAGCACCTAAGGATGGGGGCTGTTGCCATGGAGCCAACCATGCAATCAGAGGATTGGAATTTTCAGTCTCACCCCCAGACCTTTGGAGAGGGGAGAAGGACTGGAGGTTAAATTTATCACAAAAGGCCAGTGACGCAATCAATCCTGCCTGTGTAATGAAACCTCCATAAAAACCCAAAAGGCTGGGGTAAAAACCCAAGAGGCCACATCCTCTCCAAAGGTGTTGGGTGAACACCTGAAGAGTTGAAGAGAGGCTAACCTGTGTCAACGTAAGAAACGCCCAAACCTGTAAGAATTTTTATGAGTTTATTTGA